AATACTTTGTGAGACCTTAAGCGTGAGCACTCATACGCTCAGTCTTAGAATTGCCTGCGACTGTTAAATCTACACCAAATATGAAGGTTTTTCAGCTCTTATTCCCTGAGAATACTTTTGTGCGGGTATTATTTTCTCTTCATGTGTGCTGTCCCGGCCCTTTGGATGCCTCCTCAGTGATCCCTGGGGCTCTGCTCACCATTTGTCGTCCACCCTTTATCTTCTCCAGTTTAGAAAATTGCTACTTTCTCTGCCTTGAAAGTCACCCGTTCCCTAGTCTCTAATGTTCCACATATTGTTACATCCATTTTAAATTCCAGGTATATATTTCTTCAATTATAAAATTTTTATTTAGTTCCTTCCTCTCCCCCAGATTTTATGTGTCCACTGTATTTCTTTCTCTTTTAGATCATGGTTACTTTGCTTTACAGTCTACAGCATGGTTGTTATTAACAGCCTCATTAAAGTTCCTTGCTTACTAATTCCAGTGTCTAGATCATCCATCATAGGGTCAATGTCTATCAGGTGCCTGATCTGGCAGTCTGGGGGCTTTTTTCTTACTGAATAATTTTTGGTGATGGTTTGAGCAAATGGTGCCAAATGCTGTATTCTGTAATAATGTTGTTTAAAATGTTAATTTTGCCACATTACTGGGTGCATGACTTGGTTGGACCTGAACTGCATGTACCATGTCTGGCCTGCAGTTGGAGGCAGCTGGAACACAAATCAATTCTTTCAGTCTTAGCTGAACTGACAGAGCTCATCCTGGGGAGTATACATGGTGTAAGAGATAACAGACAGAAGATGTGGGCTGGTATTCAATTCATGATTGCCTAGGCTGACTCCTTTCTGACATCCAAGTTGCTGTGTGTTCAGCAAAGAACCCAACACATTTGACTTCAGAGTCTTACTGCTCTGCAGGGCCCATTCTGTGTTCACCTTCAGACTGGGAGCCACACCATTCTAAAATCCACTTAATTCTGTTTCCTTTATTCAGTGACTGCCACCTGCCAGTACCTGGCTGATTTTGTAGTCTTGGGGGTTGGCTTATGTCTAGCCTACAGTTCAAAGTGAGGTCTAGTAGAAAAGTTGGGGATAATTGTCATCTGGGTGTTCTCCACTCAGAGACCGACTCTGGAGTGTTTCTAACACCACAGAAACACGGCTCTGCTTCATCCCAGCCAAGTTCTCATGATGACGTCAGTAACCATAGGTTACTTTTGTCTAAGTCTGGACTCATCTAAATGGAGCCCTGCCGTGTGCAGTATTTTGTATTTATCTTATTCATCCACCAATGGCTTGTGCATATTCTTAGCTAGCTCTTACATCTTAAATTAACCCATTTCTATTAATCTGTCTATAACCACGAGGTTGTGGCCTACTGGTAAGGTTTTGGGGCATCTTTCTCCTTCAGCAACTGTATGACATCTCCCTGACCCTGCCTTCTTTCTCTCTCTCTCTCTCTCTCTCTCTCTCTCTCTCTCTCTCTCTCTCT